AATCCGCCATTTTCGTGTCCACCTAAAATGGCGCTTCGGTTCGCAAGGTACGGCGGGTGGTTATGATTCTTTAAAGAGGTAAATTGATGAATTTGTAAATCTTTGCATTATTTACTGACTCACTTTTGAAAAATGCTCTTCTACAAATTACAGGCAATCTGTCGTCACCTTCTGGAGGACTTTTGATGTAGTAAAAGTAGTTATCAATTCTCTATAAATAATATACAAATTAACTAGTCAATATTCACACTGAAGAGTTTATTTATTACACTGGTATTGTAAATAATTATAGTCCTGAGTGGTTTTTACTTAAAATAACAGACTCTTAATGAAACTTCTTGCATCATCATGCAACAAATTTGTCCATCATGATAATTATAGTGATATTGTAACCATCTTTTTCACCTCAGGAACTGATTCCAACTCATGGCACAGCGGTAACCAATGTTTCATCTCCCTTTTAAGAATCTTTTGAAAAAATGTTGTATCCTCCAAGCAATGATGAGCATACCTATCACAATGACATAACTTAAAATCAAAAAATACAAAGATACCGATAAATAAACAGTGATGATTATGATACTCTCACCTGTTTTCATCTTTTACATATTCCTGGACATCCTAGTATAACATTTACTATATTAAGCTCAGATTGGTTAAGAATTTTGTGTTATTTAAAGTTACAGATGTAACTTAAGTTATGCTTACTGATGTTGAATTGAAATTCTATTAAGGAAACATGTAAGCTTATACCTTTGCATTTCCATCTTTAAGCCAAGCAAAATTATCCTTGAACACACATCCATGCACTTCTTGATTGAATTGTACTTTTTTTGGGATAGGAACGTCAACTTTTGAACCAAACATCCAGTTCAAAACTGGTGCGTGGCGATTTGAAGAAGAGCTCAGGAGGCGACAGGAAAACAAGTGGTGTTGAGAAACGTGGAGGCGCGAAATTTGAAAATTCCATCTCACTACACTTGATCGGAACATGTGCAACAAACTATGATGTCAACCGTTCAGCTCTAGTAAGTTATAATTAAGAATTTATACTAAAAAGTTGGTCTAACTTCATTGTCGCTATGTCCACTTCCTCGGCAAAGGAACCCGAATATGCACAGGGAACCCATCCAAATCAAATGCTATAGCCTTGKAAGCACTGCTCTTTTTGCCTACTTTGCAATTTATTTAACAACASCAGTGTCAAGACCACGTATTTCGCTACATTTACAACCTATCCGTTTCGAAACGGGAAGCCAGATTCTTTCAATAAATATCAGAGTATCAACAGGATATCCCACAATTCATAGTTAGCTACTTATTCAACATGGCGGACGAAAGGAGTCGTCTTGTGCAGCAATCATCAAGCATCAGTCATGTGTTGAAGTTATGTGGTCATTATTCCTAGTTATTCTATAGATTGAAGGCCTGAGCTATTCTCATGTTCAGAAACTGTTTTCGCTCTGTTTGCCGTGCATTCAGCACAGGTATTCTTCATAGAAGTCGGAAGTCAGTAGGCTTACCTCATCCATCAAAGTTTAATACTACTCGTGTACCCTTTTTGGCATTTTGTACATCAAAATGGGACCGATACCCGAAAATCTATTCAGATATTCAAATGCAGAATCACAGATGCAAAGGAGGTGAATTTGAAGGGCTTCAAATTCTTCTTAACCGTCAAATACGTAATAAGACTACTATCAAAGAACTCATGCAATTGTATCAGTCAAGCAATTTCATCGAGAAAAACTGCATCACTGCCCTGTATCATTTGGCAAAGCTTGTGACCCAGAATTCATGGGAGGAGTATTTGATAAGGAGTAACCATGAGATAAGGAAAGCAGTAGAGAAATTTTTAGAGGACACTATTGGAAGCATAGCACAAGCTGATAGTCGTGGCCTTTCTAATGCTGTGCATGCTTTATCTTTACTTCTTGTCAAAAACTTAAACCTTTCAAATCTACACTTCTACATTAATGCGTGTGTGAGAGAGGCCACAAAGAGAGGATTTGGCCTCCTTAATTCAAAAGAAATTGCCATGCTTATGTCTGGACTTGGAAGAGCAAAGTTTGTAAACTCAAAGGAATTTTGTTCTGAAATGAACTCCGAGATTGTCAAGCGTGGAATGGGAAACTTTTCTAATAGCGAGTTGGCTATCATTGTCTGGTCTTTTGCGAATCTAGAGCAAACATCCAAAGAACTTTTTCAACTTGCTGAGCAGGAGATTGTTGCAAGAGGCCTGTCAAGCTTTACCAATGATCAGTTTGTTCAGCTCTTATCAGCATTTAGTAAAATATCTAACAAACATAGTGACTTGATTTTGTCCTTTGCAAAAGAGTTGACTAAAAAGGATCTCTCTTCCTTCAAACCTCATGAGCTTTATATAATACTGAGAGAATCTTCAAGTCTTCACATTTCTTGTGATGATCTTTTGCTTTCTTTTGAAGAGTCCTTGAAAGCAGATCCAGAGAAATACAATATCAGACAGATTGCTTTATTTTTAAAGTATGTTTCCAAGTTAGGGCTTCAAGGTCAGGGGATCTTCAGGTGCATGTCAAAAGAAATCTTGATAAGAAGTACCTCCAGCATCGAAAACCGTGATCTTGCTACAATCCTGCTCTCATATGCTGAAATGGAAATGGCTGATAATGAATTGTTCTTTGCTCTAAAAGATGAGATTATGTGTAGAAGTAAATCAAAGTTTGAACCTGATCATTTTGCATTGTTTGCCTGGTCATTTGCTAAAGTAGGCATCAAAGCATCTGATTTATTTCAGTTCATTGGAGATGTACTGAGTGAAGTTGATCTGTCATACATGACATCCAGAAGAATTGCCAAAACTGTCTGGGCTTTTGGAAAACTAGATGAAGCTCATGAAAAGATGTTTGGAGAAATTGAGAGAGAGATCCTTTCAAGACCGTTTAGTAGCTACGATTTTCCTACTCTAGCTCAATTAGTATGGTCTTATGCAAAACTCAATATTCAATCACCAGAACTTTTCAACCTCGTTGCTGAACAACTTCAATCTTTTGACCTTACTGGGAACAGTATTGCAGAACTAGTTATGGTTTTGTGGTCATACATGAAAGCAGTGCAATATAATCCTGTTCTCTTTGGTAAATTTGCAGCAGAGATCATCAGTCGTGATGCAAAAAGTTACACCAATAAAAACATTGTTCAAATTTTGTGGTTTTATGAGAAGTCAAATTGTGTTGAACCAAAATTATTTGAGTTCTTTGCTATGGAGATTATGTCACGTRATCTCAGCAGCTTTGATACATTGTTACTGACAACCCTACTGCGTTCTTACACTGTCATTGCTGATGCACCAAGTCAGTTGATATGTTACATTGAAGGTGAACTACTTAAAAGAGACTTACTGAAGTTGCATAGCAACATACTGAAAAACATCACTGCATCATTATCAACAAATCATATCCATGAAGGAGATCTTATTGATAAAATAAATGAAATATTAAATGAAAGACAAATGACTAATGACAAATGACTAAGCAAGCTACCAGTGGACAAGGAGACATCGGAGCAAGAGTTTCAGTGTTGCTAAAAGTTAGCAAGTTCCACCTTTGAGCCTTGGGATAGAATATTACTGTATTTTATCAGATACTATGCTACTTCCCTATCCTGCTTTACTGCATATACCAATAAATATTAATGTTATCTCATTGAATTGGYTTTCACTTTTATGCATGGGGGTTAGGTTATCTAATATTTCCTTGAAATTACGAATCCAAGGGCTATTTAAGGAACAATGTGGTTCTATATCACAGAAAAATACCCAATATTTTAACTGCTCTATTGTTTTTGTCAATTCACAATAAAATTTTCTGAAGTGGTGAGCTCTATAGTAGCCCTCTGCAGCAGACACTATCAAGTAATGTGACTTTCAACCAATGGGTATGATGGAAAATTTGTTGTTTTAAAAATACTCCATTTTTGAATTCAAAGCATGAAACCAGAAATATAACTGTTAGAGTGATCAAACTTAAAGTGTGCAACTGTACAAAATCTAAGTAGACCCATTATATGAGACATTCAAAGAAGCTTCATTAGGATGACAAAAAAAGATTTCTGCTAGAGTACAAACACCAAAAGCCCACAACAGTTTTAGTCTTTGTACTCTATCTTTTCCTTTCGTTCAAGTAGCAGTATTTTGCAGTCTACCAATAGTGTTTTACAGTTATACCGTTTGAAGTGAAATAAAAAAAACATAAAATAGAACAACAGAGTAACATTAAACAAGAATTTATTATTTACTCTAATTTTGAGTACAGATACAACACCACTGGCTTTTTATTCTATATGTTCATACTAGAGAAAAATGTGTAATTATAACCATGTAAGGTGGTTTGTGCAGAGTTCAAACCCCCACAATAGACACTTCTTGTCAGTTCATGGGTTTGGTGCATCACTGATGGATGGTTTCATTGAGACAGATTAGTTAAAATATACACATTTACATTATCATTAAGACTTTACAGTAAAATAGTGAATACAATGAATCAAAAAATGACAGCCAACCTTTGCATGGATGAGTAGTTATTAGATTAACTTAAAACAATGTTTGTTGAAATTAATATGCCATTCTTCCAGTTGTTACATTGAGAAAAGCTTATTTCAGAAATCTTAGTAAAAATTATAATTTCTGACACTATTACTTTGACCTAAAAAATATTGTAACTGGCCCTCCTTGGCCAATACATGCTATTTGTGTTCATCCAATAGATTTTAATCAGAGTATGGATTTTTAAAAACACACATGGCATAGATGATGCATTACACAATAATTAGCTCTTTGGAATCACGTTTAAAAATATCACATTTGCTTCTTGATTTGATCTTTTTTGTATAAGTTAACAACTAGTTGTACTATAATGTAGAGTCTAATTTAGTGAAAAAATCATTTGGCAATAAATACTTCACTAACCCTAACCAATATTATTTTATGTTATCTAACTATAATATTTGATAACTGTAATAAACCCAATAATTGATGGAAACATCTTACTGGATAATTTTAAGCCTTATTTACACCAAATAAGTTGTCTGTACAGTTACAAAGGTGTAAAATAATATACACCTAGCATGTGTACAATACACCTATTGTATCTAGTACCTTGAACTCAATAACCAAAGGGTACTACATGCTTAGTACATGCTGTGTCAGAACTAATCAGTTTTCTTTTCATGTCTATTCTTATACTTGAAATTTAATGGTACTTTTTAAAAAAACTGAAATAATAAACATGTAACTAAGAACTCAATAATAACTTAATGGTCTAGCTAATGAATCAACAACCTAAACATTTACACACTCCAGAAATAACTTAAAATCAATACTGGATTTCATTAACTGAAGATGAAGATTTTTTATGCCAAACTTGCCATGACACTGCAATAATTACATAAATCATCTACACATCCATATACTTAAACCCCTTATCAAGCTTGACAACAATAGCCTGGCCTGCATTTAAGTGCAGTTGATTAACATCCTTAATTTTTTKATTTAACTTAAACTCAGAATCCAAAACTACCTCACCCCGGCCAGATAAACCATTAATATTGTCCTTGTCATCTTTCTTGTTGAAGTTGATGACTACTAGATACTTGCTTTGTCTTACATATGCCAGGATGTTAGAATCAACATGAACAACACGGAAGTCAGTGTTGTTAAAACCATTTTCATTCCTAAGTTTTGCAGCAGCCTTGTACAAACTATAGTGTGATTTCTCGTCATCTTTCTGATTTTTTATTTCATTCATGTAATTTTGATTACTAGCCAATCCAAGTTCTTGACCAAAGGCTGTAGATGGAATACCTGGAAGAGTTAGTAGCAGGACATTCATAGCATCAACAAGGTCAGTCAGACGGTCAGCCACAGGGTTCTTGGATGTGCTGACAACAAAGTTGGGTATCTGCTTATCAGACAGGGACTTCAGATATTCACTGACAGACCTGTTGACAATAAAAGGAATATCACTGCCTTTCTTGAGATCCAGAAGTCCTGAGTAGGTTGGAATATCACTTTGCTCTGCAAACTGCTTAGCCTGGTTGCTATTTCCCTTCAGGTCAAGTATGAGAAGCTTGTGAGAACTTGCTTTGTTCAAGGTATCACGGAACTTCTTGACCAGTTCAACATTTTCAGGAAGATCTTAAAGTAATCAAATAGGTTGATAAGGCATAAAAACAATATTTTTTTTCATGTCTATACATAATTTTAAAAAATCAATGATTTGCAAATGACTAACAACAGTACCGCACATAATGTAAGTAATTCTAGTACATATAATGTAATTCTACCATTATTGATCAAGAAGAGAATACTTTTACATGTGCAAACATTTCACGATTTTTGTGCGGTGTTAAGACTAAGTTATCAATAAATTTCAAAAGAAATGCAATTATTGTGATTTTAATTGAAGTTATTTTGAAAAAGAAAAACAAAGCACTAAATGTTCTAAACAAAGAGAAACGCAAAAAATTGTGTCACATGCAACTTGTTCACATAACATGACTGCCACGTATCATTATCATTCTTAGTTTACATTTACCACCCCTCCCCTCCGTACAAAACTGTGAACGCACCAAAATCACATTTCATTTCGACATTGTTTTTGAACGAAAATTCGATTAAAAAAAATACAATTAAGCTTTAGATATCCACATCGAGTATAAAATCAGCTTTCTTTGGAAAAGATCATTGAAAAGATAAGCAGCATGTGAACTCCACGTGGTTTTACTTACCAAATGTTTGGCCGTGTTCAGTCATGTCGTACGTTAGACTACTCCTGTTGTAGTTGGATTTTTGTTTCTCGTCGGAAAATGTACTATTTTCAAGCAGGTATTGAACATCAACGGCTCTGAAACCATCTACTCCCTTGTCCATCCAGAATTTTAAAATCTTGTTGAGCTCTTCGACCACTAAGTCGTTACGCAGGTTCAAGTCAGGTTTGCCTTCCTCGAATTGGTGGAGGTAAAACTCGTTAGTAGGAGGCTCTTTATTCCAAGCACTTCCCCCTGTAACACTTGGCCAGTTATTACTTTCTTTTCGCCATACATACCACCCYCTTTTCTCTGAATCTGTCTTCTTGGCACTGTCTACAAACCATTTGTGTTTCTTCGATGTGTGGTTAGGGATGAAGTCAAGGACGATCTTCATGTTTTTATCATGAGCTTTTTTAACTAGTTCCTCAAAGTCACTCATAGTCCCAAACGATTTATCGATGGTAGTATGATCTTCGATATCATTATTCTTATTTGTTGAAGGGTAAATCGAATTCAGGCGAAGAATCTTCACACCCAAGCCGTTCAAGTATTCGAGACTCTCTGCAGTGTCGTTCAGCGATTTAACATCAATTTGGTAAACTATCTGATCTTTAAACCATTCTCTATCGATGGGAACTTTAGGGGGAGGACATTTTGGTGAAACAATAATGATAACAACAGCGGCAACAACCATGGCGATGATGAGAATTCCAAATAGAACAACCAAAATAACTCTTGTCTTGCTGTATTTTGCCACTTCTTCATCACTAGGTTTCTCTGAAGCACGACTCGGTGGTTCTACCTTGACTTTAACTTCATCATTAGCCGTAAGGCTGTTAAATTCAACAGCATTCGACATCTTCTTGCGATCAAAACACAGAAATACTCGCCAACAAAGACCAACACGAAAGCAAAATGGCGCGAACCCAATACCTCTTTTTAATGATGCATTGATGCGTACGAACCAATCACATTCGATGTAATATCAGATTTGACCTTTGAACATCAATCTATCCTGTTATATGATTGGCCAAGGCTTTTAATTTTAACCTGTTTGAGATTACTACAACAGGTTTTGTTAGTAATACAACACGCTGATTGCATCATATCTTTCTTCGTGTTATTGAGCAGGAAAGACCTATTCATATTATACATTAAAAACTCAGGGAAATTATCCAGATGGCAAAAAGGTATAAATTTCCCACGAAACGCAGCAAAAAGTAGCCATGCAATAAATATGACATTTTATAACGTGGAAACTGCCCAAGCGATAATTTCATTCAAATGAAATGCGCACTCATATGAAAGAGGGTGTTAATACATGCCATGCATCAATTAGAAGCCGCGATAAAATATTTGATCACTTGCCTTATAATCGGTATTACGTGCTGAAACAAACATAGAAAAAAACTGAGCTGTAAAAATTTGACGAAACTGGTGTCTTCCACAATGCAATCCCCTTCTCCCCCACCCCCTCCAAAAAACAAAAACAAAACGAAAACGATCCTTGTAAGGGTTCGAACAATTCTATAATTGCCCTATAATTTATTTTCATTTGTTCCCTATTATATCTTTTTCAATTATTTAGACTTTGTAGTATGTACAAAAATTTTCTTATAATTTAGTTGATGTAGTCGCCAGACTGTTCTTTAGTACTCATCGTCGTATTCTGCAAACTCTTCTTCTGCCCCTGGAAATAAATTCATTCGTAAATTAGTCACAAGATCAATAACAACAGTAGCAAAGACACTAAAGACCCGGGGAAGGGGGACTCCCTAATAAAAAAGGTCGGAGTCCTCGTCGGAAATTCTGAAAATGACCCCTAAAAGGGACCTGTACTGCGAGATGATGGGCGTGGCAGTGCTTAAATATCACCCCTAAGAGGAATCAATAACAGGTCATTTTGCTTTGGTTTCCCGATTTTATTTGTGTTTTTGCACAAGCATCAAACGCCGTCGGCTCGTATTGAGATCAATCATCTAATTAGCAGTTAGCTGGTCTTATAATGACGGCTTAGGGTCGTCGTATACCCTAAAAGGGACCACAAAACTCAGTTGGTGGGAATTCTCGTCATTATTACCCTAAGCGGGACCAAAAAACTGATTTCAAACCCTAAAAGGRACGACGAGGACCCCCGCCCCCCAACCCCCGGGACTAAAGAAAATTTTTTTCTTCACGCACTTAATAAAGTGCTTGCACCGTATTAATTTTGATATTCTGGTTCATACAATTTGCATGTAATTCCTAGGARGAGCCGACGGGTTCCCGTTCACATTTTGATGGAACAATAATGAGCCATAATAATAAATAAGTCACTACTGGTTGCCAGCGGCTA